AGTAAAAACTGATCACCATAAAATCACCAAGAAATATGACTCTATTACAGGCTGAAAATAGGCAGTAAGTGTTGGGGAAAATGTAAATCTGTAAGTTACAAAGAACATTAAAAGAGAGATTAATTTACAAGAAACTCCATCTTTAAAATGTCTGTAGGGTATGCTGAGCATTTTTTAAGATACAACCTTTTTTCCTTATTGTAACACTAAGTGCTACAGTAGAGATGGTGTGGTGACCTGATTTTGAATGCTTATAAGCTTTTTTACCTTTTTTTTTTTTTAATTTAGTTGAAACAGAACTTTCAAAGACAAGATTTAGTAGGAGGACTTTTTTAAATTAGTCAGATTCAGATGCCTGATGGTGTTAATTTCACTTAAAAGAGTTAAATAAACTTTTTTTTTCTGTTTAATCCATCTTCAGACTTCTTATAAGTCTGTGTTTTTCACACAAAGCATCTGCACAGTTCTCATTTCCCCCAGGTCTTCATTTGGAATAGGAAGTTAGAGTTAAATTCAAATGCAACTTTGTGCTTTCGATGTTCAGATGCTGCTAGAGGTTGCCCATCTTTCTCAGAAACTCACAGCACCCTTGGGGTTCTGTTTGCCATTCTAATAGCAGAATTAGGAGAAGACAGATGGTAAGAGAAAGAGTTAGATTTGGAAGCAGCTGTTATGAAATCTGCTTCAAGAATACAATTGCTTATATAGACTTACTCAGACAAAGCCAAAACAGGAAAACATATTTTTCACTTTGGCACACCAGCTGGTGTCGCTGCTATAGTCAGCGTAACTGTACTATTTAGAAAAATACATATTAGGAATTGCATCATCAATGTCAACATGAAAAAGACACAAATACAAATTAATATGGGTCTCACTCATTCTACCATAAATCTTGAAGCAATTGGATTTATTAAGTGAAACATAATATAACTACAAAAATAAGTTTAACTTAAGATGTTTAACGCTTGAGTATTCTCATAGGCATGCTTGTCTTACAGTGTTGCTGGGAATAGTGGAAGAGGCACTGATTAAATCAGTGTGAGGGTATGTGAGACACTGGAATAATTATTGGGTCAGAACCAACTCAAGAGTGCATGGGAGGGGGTGGTAAAGGATGAGTCAAATTTCATGGGGGTGAGGTAATGCCATATCCCACATGGCAGTCCCTGCAGTCTCACTGGGTAACCTAAGACCAGCTGTCAGGCAAAAGCAGCCCAGAAGGATAGCCCACACCACATCCCTGAAGCCCCTAAACCAGCCTTAGATTGCCTGGCAATATCACCCCTCACCCTGCTCTGGAGCCCCAGAGTGGCCAGTAGGCCAGAAGTCCTGTCTGGGAGGGTTGTCACAGGGGGCCAAAGCACAAAAAAAAGCAACACATGGCTCCATTTTTCTTGAGACCTGCTACCTGGCCATGCAGAAGCTGGACTTGCACAGTCTGGTGGTAGCTATTTTTCTCTTATTCTCTCTTTCTTTACTCCTTCCTCTTCTTCTTCTCTTAATTTCTTTTCTTAATATTTTGGGTAATGTGGGACCAAATGGATTGGATTTTGCTAAGTTCTGTGGGTTAACGTGCAAAGTTATAGTTTTGTGGAATGCTCTATTTTGGTTGTACATTACCCCTTTAAATTTTTGCCAAGATCTCTTATTTTCTCCCATATTTTCTAGAGTTAGCAGTAAAAGTATCTCCTGAGAAAACGTGTGCCGTGTCTTCTCTTTATGCTACCTCAAGAGTTTTTGGAGCCTTGTATATGTTTAAAGTAAAACTCCTGGTTGTACTCATAGCTCTGGGGCTGGGGTTATACAGGATAGTGAACAAGATAATAAGTATTTTCACTATCAGATAAAGCCCTATTTCCCAACCCCTGTCCTAGAGTGATCCAATTACTCTTCTGTTTTATGTTGCATACCAGCATGAACGACAGAGCCACCACAATCTGTAGTAATGCTGTAAATGACATCTCATGCAGAAAAGTACCTCAGCTTCCACAGATGATATAGAAATTATATATACTGTCAGACAACCCTGCCCATATGTAAGATCTGACTTGTGGAACACTGGTTGGACTGCTCTGATTTACCTGGACATTACCAAAATGTCCATTCTCTGACCTCATCAGCAATATGAAACTGCACACAGTCAGTTACATCGTAGGTATGACTGGGAACAGAGGTGATAGGGGTGAGATTGAGTTGCCTAAACAGAATAGCATGATGTGAGATGTCCCAGCATATCTTAACTGGGTTCTTGCTGCTACTCCAGGTGACTGCAGATCTTCCACCATTTCTGTGTCATATCCACCAGCACCATGCGGTTGCATCAGACAGCCAAGAGTGACTAAAATAACAGCAAATTACTGTTTTCAAGGAATCAAGAGCTAAATGACTCTCTGTCCTAGTTAGGACAGCTGAGATCAGTTCATCATGGTGGGTGTAACCCAAAACTGTATTCTATAGCCTTCCATGTCATTTCCCAGAAACTAGACTATTTGCACCCTCTGCCCATAGAGCCTGACTCCTCAGACTATAAACTAGGTGTTAAGAGGCCTGTGAGATAGGAAGATGTTTCTGTCCTCACACCCTTTGTGGAACTCCCCGCCCTGAGGGGAGCACTGAACATTCCTGCCTGAACTGGAGGATATATAATCTTGGAGTTTTGGAACATTTTTCAACCCACTCGTGGGATCCAGAGGACGGCTGCATCTCATCGCTCTCAACCAGACTTAGACCATCACTGGACTGCGATCACCAGTTCTGGCCAGACTGCAGCAGCTCTCCCACCAGCAGGTTCTTCCCCTCTCCCTTTACTTTGGACTCAAACAGGGCCCAAGGAACACCACTTTGTTCAGGCCCCAGGGTACTGGGTTATACATTTGGGTTTTTGTGGGTTGAGACCAATTGTTTGTTTGTATTATTGTACTTACTGTATTATTTTAATAAATTGTTATTCTGACTTATAATCTCTCCTTTGAGTTGGGTTCATTCCCCCTGCTGGTTAACTTTTAAACCAGCACACTCTCCTTTAACTAATCTTGAGTTTCAGGTGCCACTATAAAATCTCTAGAGCTCACTCTAGTAAATTAAATTTGGCCAGGAAGAGTCCTGGGGATGAATGTTAAAAGGCATGGAATACATCCATACTGGTATCTAACTATTCTGGCACTCAAAACTAGAGCTGTCAAAATTAAAGCACTTCTTGGCTTTGTCTCAGTATGATTTGAGAAGATACTGAGACAAGCTAAAAGCATGCAAGAAGCGCTCAAGAGTATTTAATAGTGTAGGTGATCATATTTCATTGCCCATTAATGATGCTTATTGTGAGCTGCTGATCTTCTTTATTTCTAAAGCAGGTGGGTGGGAGAGTTAAATATCCCTAATGACACTTTTCACAGTTACCCATGGAAATTTTAGTATTTTATCCTAAGTGACCAGAAAAAGGCTCTCAAATCCATGACACACAAAGAAGGATTATCACCAGAGATTCTGAGTATCAAAACATCCATCTGAAATAAACCCAAGCACAATACAAACATAAGCAGAAGGTAAGTGTCTGCTTCATTATGGTTACTTAAACAAGGACCTTTTCAATCAAAAAGTAAGGGAGTAAGCAATAACAAGACCTCAGAGAAACACAAACCCAGTAGGCAAGGGATAACAGAAAATGTCAAAAATCTCCCATCACTAAACAATGAGCTGTTAAGAAACTACAAGTGCAGCTCGTGAAAGGGTTGACCTGGACTTAGTAACTGACAAGAGGTGGGAAACAAGAGTTAAAAACATGGATTTGGGATATTTGAGGGAATTCTGTGGGACTATGCAAAACTAACAAAAGAAAGTGACGGGTAAAAGGATCAGGAAGGAACAAGGCTGTGTGTGTGTATGCACAAGCAAACACCAAGCTTGACCAGCTGGTGAGCAGAAGGCCATAGGAGGTTCCTGACAGAGTTATCAGTAAGGTGGAAGATCTGCGTGCTGGTATTTGGGAGATCCTGCCAGTGTGGAGTACCTGTGCAACAAGTGTCTGGGCGCAGCAAGCACCAGACTGGACTGACAGGCAAACAGCGGACCTATGGGACAGCAAGAGGTATCCAGGCAAAGGTATTGGGTGAATACAGTGGCCATGCTGGTGCTTGGGGGATCCCAAAATATATGTGTGCTTGTGCACCTAGTGAGTGCAATGTACACGCTCCCCGCTAGGGAGCTACAGCACTAATATGTCTTACACAGAGATGCTGCTTAAGAAACACCTTGTCTGTGCCGATCAGTGTCCATGCCCTGTGTGTGTGTCTGCGTGCCTGTATCTCTGTAATATGCACTTATCTTTCTAACAATTTGAGGTCAAACAGTTCAGCCTGTGACTCAGTACCCAGATCTCTGAGCTCCTGGGTTGGGCAGGAGGAAAACCTGAGCTTGGTGTTGCTGGAGTTGACAACCACTTATAGCATCCCTTAATATACAGAGCCCCAGAAACCTTTGTGATCTGAAGGAGCTTGAAACACTTAAATTGAAATGTTGTCTGCCATACCATAAGATGGGCAAGAACAAGCTGCTGTTAGTGATCTGCAAAACATTATGGAAACACATAGTAGAGGGAGTGAGGTGGTCAATCCAATAGATCACTTTCTCAGTAAGCCTCATTAGAAAATGAGAGTTCTTAACAATTTAAAACCTTCAGACTTTTTTCTTTTTTTCCCTGTGAATGCCTGGTGAAATAGAGGTTGAAGCCAGAGTTTGACAGGTCATCCAAAATGCAATTTTTTCCATGACCTGAGCTAGCTGCAAATGCCCTGCTCTCAAGGAACCACAGACTCAAACCTAGTTCAAATAAAATATGTACATGATTTTTTTCATGAAAATATGGTCCTTAATACAATAAATCCTCTAACCTTTTGTCATACTGTTTCAAGGTATTTGCAGGCAACAAATTTATCCTGCCTCAGCCTGCATTGTGCTGGTCTAAAAAAAATAAATAATTAATTTCTATTTCCTTCTTGTAGGTTGTCGAATCTAATGGGAAATTTGCCAGTCCTGTCTTGAACTCAGATGCTCAATTTATCTTTCTTGAACATAACTGACTAGACAATATCATACCATTATAGTGACTTTTCCCTTCTTTAATCTAAGTACCTAATCTGACAAAATTTAAGTTTTAATTGGCTATTTTCTTGTTTGCAGACACTCTTAGTTACTAATCTATGAGCTTAATCTACTCTATATTCTTATGTTCCTTTGAGGGGCTTACTACACTGTTGCCTTGGAGTTTTTGACTTTTTAATTTTTATGGGTTTTAGAAGTAGTTATGTAGTGAATGTAAGTTTTAAATGTAGCTGCATTTATTATATTCCTTACACTTTAGCATAGTAGTTACACATATCCAACCCTATTACCCCATTTCATATCAATTCCCCCTAAATTCCAATAGCATATTTAGTCTCTTTTTCAAGGTAGGCCTTCATTTTGTTTAAGAACATCTGCACCCTGGCCTGGACAACAAGATATCACTTAGGACTTCCGAAAGTCTCCAAGGACTGTACGTGCTCTAAAGAAGATGAAGATGAGGAAGAGGAGGTCCCAAAACTCCCCCAGACTCAATTCCTGAGGGGCGGAACGGGGCAAAGGCCGGAGCGTGGATGAACAGGGATTGGATGGACATCATTATAAAAGTTGTAATTCCTGGGTCAGGGCGTGTGCATGGTTTGTATTCTCAGAGCCTGAGAGGCTTCATTAAAACCTTCCCTTATCTTACCTCCTACTTAAATTGCCCTGGAGTTTTTTTTCTCCCTGAGTCTTTTAGGCGACACACAAATGTTGTTATGAATGCTAAAGTGCATCACTTTAGCACTCTGTTGTACAATTTTTCATCTCAAATCATTCAAACATATTTTAAAGTTAATACTAAAATGATATGCACCGAGGTCTGAATCCTTTGTGGCTGAGAAGCATATTCAGTGGGATTTTCAACTCCCTGGGAAAGGCCTTTCATTATCCTCTAATCATTAATGAGGGAAACATGACAGTCCACTATTTCCAGAGATCCCATCTTTGGGACTGTGGTTTGGGTAGGTGAAGATATGTGCTTGCAGAGTTGGCTCAGGTCTATAACCTCTGGAGTGGGGAAGGGAATCAGAAATACTCAGTTTGGCGTTTCTTTTCTTCACAAGCACATCTCACTGTTAGGAGCTAGGAGTCAAGTTCTCTTTGGAGGTTGCTAAGCCTGGTTGAGTATCATTTGCAGGTAATCTTTTTTGAATCTGAAGTCCCTGAGACCAATTAAAGCAAGAACTATGGTCTCCTGGTATCTTAAGCAGCCATGAAACCTTGGGTGAGGGGGAGGATGATGGGTGCAGCAACGCAAAAGTACAAAAGCATTGTGTAGTTCTGAAAGGACTAAAAACCTACAAAGAAAGAAACTTTTATTTTATTTAGCTAGTTTAATGAATTAAAACTTTTGAAGACAATATTTTTGCATTCATAGAGGCTAGAAGGATGTCAGAACTACAACCACAGAGCACCATGTAATAGCTGCAGGTGCAGTGAAAAGAAAAAATTTTCTCCAGAGTTTACTGCACTTTCATTCTAAAAGCACTTTAGATTGGCTGAAATTCCTACAATAATGCAAGATTGTCTCTAGGCAATCCCATTTTTCCTAAGAACACTGACACTATAGCAAAAATGCTAGCATAGCAAACTGGAAGAAAACTCTCCCTAAATATGATGGATTGTTGTTTTCCGGCAATTTTTCAAATGCTGTTTATCCTCTATCTGGATATTCATATGACATAGATATAAAAGTCTGAAATATTATTTTAGTCTTTATTAACCTACAGGAATTGTTCCCTAGGGTATATTTTAGTGCTCTAGCATAATTTAATAGAGGAAGAAAAACTAAATAAAATTAAGTTTGATGTGTTCTTCTGTTTATTAAACTTGCTTTGATTGAGATAAATTAATTATTTTTAGTTGCAGTTTAAATGACCATAATGATATAATTTTCAATATTCAGTATGTGATTTAGACTATTTGCAATAGGATTTTTGAACAGTAACACCATCTGATTAGTCTACTTAACAATCACTAACTGATGAGTATATTACAGCATATGACAAGAATTCATAAGATTTATGGTTCTCTTCATGAGTAACAAAACTGACATACAATTTTCATTTTTGATTTGGTGCTTCTTTTTGTACTACATATAAAGGAAGAAAACTGGAAATATTTTGTGCAGTTAAAATATTCACAAAGAAAGAAACAAATTATAATGTTAATAATTACAAGTAGAATTTACGGATAAGGGAACCAATTTGATGAAAAAAAATTTAAACAAAAATCCTCACTAGTTTATCTCATGTGATGTTTAAAAAAATTGCTTTTATTGACATCAGAATTATGGCATTTTTAATCTGTAAGCCAGCCTGTCCAATATAAACCTTTTTTATTAACCTTGACTTCAATGCAGCATTCACAGGGACCTTGCATGTGTTCTGATCTCTGAGTCATTGGAGTTTCTCCAGGTCTGGTTTTGGAGACTTGGACTCCTGACTCCAGGGAGGCCAAGCAGTGGTACTGAACTGATAAACACCTCAAAATGTCCCCTACACTTGGACATCACATCTGAAGTTGTGAGAACACTATTCATCTCACAGCCATCATGATCTAACAGCCTCTTCTATTAGCATCTATTTTCAGTGGTAATTCTTAAGAAGAAATTCATAAATCAGTGACCTGAGGCTCAGTGAACTGTCTCATTCATTCCTGCTGCAGGGGTAGGAGCCTGGAAGACAAGCCAGGAAGACAAAACAGGTAATTCTGGGCAAAACACTGGAACAGCCAAGTTTGTCTGCAGCTCTAGGCAGAGACCTTGTTCACACATGGCACACAATGTCGAACAGCAGAGTCCACCTGACTATCAGCAATGTCTACTACAGATGATCTGGAGCATCATCAGCAATGGCAATTAAGATCATAAGTACCTTGGGAAAAAAGGTGCTCTTGAATACATACAAAAAGCAACCACTTGCCCTTTCCCACCCCACCAACCAAACCAAATAAAACAACAAAATGGCCGCAAGAAGTCAAAGAACCAGCTACAGAGAGAAGAAAATTCTCTACCAATCTCTTCACTCTCATGACCAGTGATAGGACTCAAGGAAATGGCATGAAGCTGAATCAGGGTTTAGAATTTAGGTTAGATATCTGCAATCACCCAGATTTCACCAAATTTCCTGGAACAGGCTCCCTAGGGAAGTGGTCACAGCACCAAGCCTGTCTGAATTCAAGAAGCATTTGGACAATGCTGTCAGGCACATGGTGTGATTCCTAGGTCTGTCCTGTGCAGGGCCTGGACATGGACTTTGCTGACCCTAATGGGCCCCTTCCAATTCAGCATATTTTATGATTCTATGAACATTCTGTTTACAATTAATTAGGAAATACTACATTATTTTCTCTTTCATTCTGACACAAACTCTTTCTATCCCTATTCTTCCACTGGTCCTTATTGTAAAAGTTCTGTTACTTTTTAAAACATTTTGGTACTAAAAAATTTGCTTTTAAAAATAAGCTGTAGAGATATTTTCTCTGATCTTAATACATTTTTTTCAACTTCCTAAGGAGATTCACCTTGAACCATACAAATTCTTAACCTAACTTTCTCCTGAGTCATGCTATAGTTGCTCATGCCACTTTGGCAGACATACAGCCCTTATTCTTCAGGGGTGAAGTAGCTAAAAGACTCAAGAACAATTTTCATTACTTGGTGGCTCCTCTGTGCTATCTTTGTATACCAGTACTCAAAATTACATTGTTTATGGAAAGATCTCTCTATTACTTTTCTGTAAAAATTTCATTATTCTCGTAAAATTGGGATTTTCTATGAAAAAATATGACTATTTCATAAAGTAGTAGTGTTTTGGGTGATACAATCTCACAGACTTTAGACTGGAGGAAAAGGGTTTAATAAATAAATATTTATAAACAAACATTTTGCAAGTAAAAATAGAGCACTGGAAGGCATAGTCTGACATTTTCATTTATTGCAAAGCCTTAAGAGCACAAATGAAATAAGTTTTTTCTTCAGGACAATTTCATCTATGGAAATTTGTTTGATTATGATGTAGGAAGAGTCTAGTTGTACTTTTGTTACAGTTTTTGGTTTATAGCATCACCTAACTCAGGTTTATTCTCATCCAATCATTCTGAAAATGCTAAGTATCATCAATCCATCAATGGTTACTTTCAGGGATTAGTTAAACTGAATATTTTGGCAGAGAATTGGAAGAGCACTAATCCATTAACTTTTCTTTTTGCAATCAGGAAACACTTGCATTGAGAGATGCAATGAAACTTTGTATTGAAGTTGACTTTTTGTAGTATCTCCTAAATGTTTATTTTTAGGTTATCTTGAACAGAATAACCCTGAGTGCCATGCATTTTTAATCTCAATTGGTGCTGCACCAAGCATGTTAATTAGTATTCTTCCTTATCTTTCATAAGAATATTATGTATTTTATGCAGTATTCTTCCTCCTTTGCAGAGCTCCAAATAAATTGAAGGTGACAATATGCCATTCACTTCAGCAAAACTTCACATAATAAAAATAGATAAAAATATTGCAAAAGAAAACCACTATGCTGGAGTTACAAGAATTAAAATATAAATGGTAGCACTTCATTATCATACTCCCAGAGCACCAAAGCAATGACTAAGGCTCTCAAATAAATTTGAAAGAAATCTATTCTATCTACCCACAAGTCATGTGCCAAATAAACATATTTGGATCATTGTTACAGAATCAAAGAAAATTTTTGCAGTAGATATATGCTGCTCTAGCAAGTATATTACAGCTTCAATTATTATGTAGCTTTCATTACTTTTTTTGTTAAATAAAGCAGCAAATTATGTTCTCCATAATGTCAGTAGTGTTACTGTTTTGAAGTAAAAGCAAAATATTTTCCTTTCAACTACTTTCAAATTAAAGTCCAGTGACTTTAACTTCCCCGTAACAATCTAAGTGAATAAAATATAACCCAAAGACACTATTTTTAAAGATGGAGTCTTAAAAGTGCATCAGTACACACAGACAAAAGAAAAAAAATACCAGCATTTTCAAAACAATCTTAATTTTTTTTCGCTTTGTAGTTCCACACTAGAATCTAAGTGGATGAATTAGCGTGCACAGTCTAAAAATTAAAATAAAACCAAGCATTCCTAGCTGATGAAATAGGTTTTCCCCAAACATTTTGTAACTGAAAGAAACCACTAGAGGGCAAAATGTCCATTTTTAAAAGCATAA